GAGAGAGAGAGAGAGAGAGAGAGAGAGAGAGAGAGAGAGAGAGAGAGACAAGATTGGCTTACCACGTACTTGCGTTGAAGACATCGCTACGGCGCGCGCGCACGCGTGCGAGCGAGCGAGAGAGAGAGAGAGAGAGAGAGAGAGAGAAAAGAGAGAGAGGATCAGCGGGAGCGGCGGCTGGAGCGGAGACGAAAAGTGCAGCGTGGCGGGAGCGACTGCTGCAGCGGCGGGGATGACGGCGGCGGTTCCGCACTTTGGCGCACGGAGCGAATTCACGCCGTTGAATTTTTAGTTCAACGGCGTTAAACGCGTTTGTTCACGTTAAACACGATTTTACGCGATTTAACGGGATTTAACGTGAATTAACGCGGTCGTTCGGGGGCTTGTTCGCGTCCGGCGGCGGGGTCGGGCGGGCGTTTAGGGGGTGTTGCGGTGGAAGCAGGGGGGGGTTGGGGCGGGCACGACAGGTGCAGGGGCCGGGGAAGGGGAAGGTTGTGTACGGAGGGTTTCTAGGGTTCATTTCGAAAGGTCGACAGGTCTTCGGGTCGAAGGTTCAAAGCGGCGAACGGGACACTCGCGAGGGGGAGGGCACAGCGACGCGAGCATGAGCCCGCTTCTCAAGATGTGCAGGACACGTTCAGGGTAAGGTCCGCTGTGTATCGGTACCTTGTTGTCGACCAGAAGGTCGACAACAAGGGGTGATGATGCTGCGTTGCACATTTCGCAACGAAGTATTCCAGGGGACTTTATTCCAGGCAACCAGGCACTTCGTGCAGACCAATTACTGCAAGGCCGTCACTGATGAGGCCTTGTACGAGATCGGAAAACAGACTCAACTGAAGTTCGAGGCCGACCAGATGGAGAGGATTTCCAGGTTTGCAGCGGAGCGTGGACTTGATGTGCCCCGGGCCGGTGCAGCGACGGGAGGAGAGGCGGTGCAGCGGCCGCGGGAGGTGGGGGGGAGGGGGAGAGATTGGGCATGGTGAGCCTGACCAGCCATTGGGGGGTAGAGGCGGTGGCATCGAGGGGGACGTGATCATCCATGATCGCGAGGCACGTGGCACGTCCCGGGAGGGATTCCCGGGACACGAGGATCAGCCCGAGTTCGATCCATGGACGGGGGAGAGGATCATGGACTAGCAGCGGCGAGGGGGCAAGCGGCAACAGCCTCCTGTGCAGGATCCGACGGGGGAGGGTTCTTCCAAGAGGAAGGAAGGGGGAGCTGTTCCGGCTACCACTCAAGCTGGAAAGAGGCTTAAACAACAGAAGGCGGATGAGGTGTACGGTGGCGAGTGGGTTGCTCGCCACAAGAAGGCCTTCCTTCGCTGGCTTTATTCCAGCGGGGTTTCCTTCAATGCCTTTCGCAATGAGGCATGGAGGGCATATCAGCAGGTGCTTCTTCAGCAGCCTGGCAGTTCGCCGCGCGCTGTGCTCCCTAGCCACAGCGAGATTGCGAGCATGCAGGCAGTGGAGAGGCACCATGCGGAGTTGGCCGAGGAGTTGGAGGAGGTGAGGCAGCCATTTTGGGTGAGCCACCATCCTCTCAGACGGGAGAAAATCACGAGACGGGAGACCGATCATTAATTTCCTCGCCGCAGGGTCTCGAGGGGTCGTCATGTACACGGCGATCAATCGAGAGGGGGAGCCGGACGATGCTGTGCACGTCCTTCGGAGATGGGTAACCATTTTCCACGAGTTCAGGTTCGGCGGGCCGCAGCAGGTCAATGCGATATGCACTAACTCCGCGTCAACGTACGTTGGGGCTGCCAGGGCTATGACCTTGGAGACCATGCCTGCAGCATTGAGGAGGATCACTTGGCTCCCATGCTCGGTCCATGTCTGCAACAAATTGTTGTCAGACATGGGGACGTGTTGTGACGCGTTTGTTGATACTATCACACGCGCTCGTGTGCTGGTGGTGTTTTTCAAAACCCACCAGGCGGCCCTTCATTTTTTTAGGAAGCGCAGCCCCAACCTCGGTCTTGTTCTTTCATGCGAGACACGGTTTGCGTCTGTGTACTCCATGTTGGAGAGGCTCATGGCCCTGCAGGACAATTTGCAGAACATGATGCGAGGGGATGACGCCCGGGATTTTGCCTCCATCCCGTGATCTGCCGATGTTTGCTACATGGTGCGCTGGGTGCACCGACAGATCAGATGGGATCCTTGGTGGCAGAGGGTGGCCACCATCGTCCATATCATGTAGCCCGTGATGCAGTTGCTCCGACGGATGGATCGTGGAGGGCAGTTCATGTCGCTCGTGCTCGAGTGGGCACAGGATCTTGTGCAGCGGGTGGAGGCATGCGCTCCTTTGGGGTCCTCGATCGCAGACCGGATCATCAGGCGTGTGCAGGCACGCTCGCAGCACATGCTAGAGCCAGCCCACTGCGCTGGGTTCTTACTGAACGAACCCCCGCAGGCGACATGTTCGATATTTTTCCGGCGAGGTGCAGGAGTACCATGCTTGGCTTGTGAGACAAGCCAAGAGGTACATTCTGACGCAGACGGGTTTCGAGTTGGAGGGTGCGAAGTACCTCCTTGCCTGCCGGCAGTTCGAGGACTTCCACATGCAACAGGGCAGGTTTGGTGATTGGGGCGGGGCGGAGGGGCGTGCTCGTGGGCGCGCATGTAGCGGTGACGCCGAGACGATCGAGTGAGCGTCTTGGTGGTCCCAATACCGGGCTGGCGCCCCTGAGTTGCAGCGGTGCGCTCTTCGTGTGATGCACATGTTCTCGCGCCTCTCCAGCGGAGAGGAACTGGGCAGTCCACGAGGGCATCCACACGAAGAAGCGTAATAGGTTGGCCTTTGAGAAGGTCGTGCAGCTCGTTGAGATCACCGCAAATGTGCTGTTGACAGAGTATCGGCGGGCAGGATGCGGTTACGTGCTGCCACGGCAGCGTGACGAGGGGATGTTGGACTGCCAGGCAGGACTGGAGGTTGAGCCGGTGCACACGGGCACGCGCCAGGGGATGATGGCGGCGAAGATTGCAGAGCAGGTTGCGCTTATTACGTGCGATCCCATCGGGTCTTCCGCACCGCCATCCGCTGCTGCCGTTTTTGAGAGACGTGCTTGCATTTTTCGTCTGTACCCTAGGGACGATGACTCGGATGAGGAGCCCACACCCGAGGGAGTAGATGACCCTGCGCTGCCCATTCCGAGCGAGATCGACGAGACCCATGAGGAGGCCAATGATGCCAAGGTGAGGACATACACGGCACGGCGGGCAGCGGACCGGGCAGAGGAGGAGATGCAAGGGGGGGACGAGGATTTATGGGGCCCTTTCGGGGAGGTGGCTTCCACAGGTGATGCGCGTGCTGACAGAGGCGGGGCCTCTCATGCCGACATGAGCCGCACAGAGGCGAAGAGACCGACTCCTGCTCCTGCCGGGCGAAAGACGACCGTTCAGCCACCTCCTGCGCCGAGTCCTGCACCGCCCATCCCTGTCTCGCCTCTTCAGCCGGCCACAGGCGGAGACGGAGGAGTTGGCATCCTCCTTGCCTCCGCACGGGGTTCTGCAGAGATCGACAGTGGTTCGACAACTGAGGTTACGATCACCTTCCCCGGGGGTATTACAGGAGGAGGGGGATGTGGCAGCAGCAGCGCAGGAGGCACCAGCAGTCTCGACAGCGAGGGAGGAGGTGCCAACACAGGCGACGGTTGAGGAGGAGGTAGCGGCAGCGACACCGCAGGAGGCCGTTCCTATGGATCATGACAGTGCGGACACCGATGAGCAGCTCGTGCAGCGCTTCATCACAGAGGAGGTCGATCCAATCGTGGGGGGTTTGACCCCAGGGGCGGCGATGGAGCTGGGGGTTTCTGCTCCCACAGGGAGGGCGGGGTCAGAGATGGGGACGCACTTCGACTTCGACTTGTCGATGGGCGCTCCACCTACTTGCGGCGGGGCGACATCGACGGATCGGGCGTCGTCACGGGACGACGCAGCAGACGCGACGGGGACGCAGACCCCGATAGAGAGGACGCAGGCGGAGTCTCCAGATACAGCACGCGACATCATGGAGCGAGAGAGGGCTCGACTTATGGCATCGAGTAACCCGCGTGCTCAGGCGTTCGCACGGGCCTTGGAGGAGGACAGGCGTCGAGAGACAGGGGGGGATGGTGTGCAAGGTGGGGTGGTGGCTGGGGAGGACGTTATGGAGGGAGTAGCAGCAGAGGCAGACGGCTATACAGGGTGGGTCAGAGGCAATGGATGTTCCTGTGGATTGCCGACCACAAGCGACGGATGAGGCTGTGCAGGCAGGACAACGGCGAGATGAGGGGGCTATAGAAGCACGGCCCGTGGTTCAGGAGATGGCGACGGGTCCAGTCGTTGGGCCTGCACTTGGCTCAGGGCTGGCAGTCGCAGCCGGTTCAGGTGGCAGTGCATGGTGTGCCACCGCCCGTTATCACGGATATGGGGTCCGAGCCGGTGGTGGTGCCTCCACGTCCTCCTAGTCACTTTGCTCCGCAGGAGGTCTGTCGTCCTTTGGATGCAGATGAGTTGGCGAGAGATGCTGTGCGCGATGTTACTCGATTGGACCGGTGGATCTTTGACCGGAGGCTCGAGCATCCAGCATGGCAGGCGATCCCTTCGGTTCCATGGGGTCGTGCGTCGCCCGTGTGGTCTGGGTCTACCTCCACCGGAGGACGTACTGCGGGAGATGTTCCAAGGGTTTCGGGTGGCGTGCAGGAGACAGCGCCACATACAGGAGACATGCCACCCCCTCCTCCTAGACCACCTGTAGGTGATCCATCATCGTCGCCCACAGGTTGAGGCTCTCGATCCCCACAGACGCCCGGGAGATCGAGGATTCGTGACACGACAGCAGTTCTGCGGGACGTGTGTGACACAACATTATTCGGGAGGATATACATAGATTTGGATTCTACCCGCCGTATCACGGAGCACACTGCACGCCTTCAGCCGGGCTTGGGAGGAGTTGGCGCCAGGACGACCGCAGCGAGGGAGGTACCAGGATCAGGTTGTGAGCCTCCGCGAGGTCGCGCCAGAGGAGTGTCCACCGACACCTTGGAGCACGCTCTGAGAGTTGCGACGCGTGTTGTGCAGGAGCAGACCCCACGCAAGCGTGGAGTGCCTCCTCGTCCACGCCCTGTGGCTGCAGAGAGAGGCGCTGCGCTTGGAGAGAGTTCGGGGGCGGAGGGGTTGGGGATGCCTCCTGGATCCCGCAGTGAGCAGACGGTTGCAGAGGCTAGTGCGAGGGTTGTTTTGTTGAGGAAGGGAGGAGGCCCTGTCACCATCGAGGAGGATGATCCTGAGACAGATGCGGCAGTGCAGGAGGAGGACAAGGACTATGAGGGCGAGGAGGAGGGTGCGGAGGAGAGCGAGAGCGGTTCCGACGGTGACGACGACTACGACGACGATGGGCCCCCACCTCCCCCGCTGACGCGTGCATCTAGACGCTCCGCTGCGCAGACTTCTTCATCCGCACGAGGGAGGAGGAGGTCGGCATCTGGCTCTTGAGGGGGTGTGAGGAGACGGAGCGGGAAGGGGAAGAAGGGTTGTTGACCGTGAGGCCAGCACTCCGTTTTTCCCCTACTCGCACTGTACTTCATCATGTTGTGAGGTCCTGTTTTTTTTTGTCGTGTCGTCTTTGTCTTCGTATTGTTAGACACTGAGTGTTAGTGTGCGTGTTGTAGTAGTTGTTTCCTTCGGTTTTGGTGTGTATGATTTTGGTACCAGTAGGGTGTTCGTAGAGTAGCCTTGGTTGCAGCAGACTGAGTACAGTACAGTACCCCAGCAGCTACGACACGACTTGTACACTACTATTTCTTGTATTTTTTTCGACATGTGGTACGAGTGCCTTAGCAGTAGGATTATACTAGGATACATTGTATTATGTTACATTTTTCATGTGTGATTTCAGTGACAGGTACTTCGCGCTGTTCACGACTTTTCATGTACATGGCATTTTCCATGTACATTTTCAGTTAGGAGTGATGCACGTCGTGTGCGCGATGTTTCGTGCCCATTTTTCTCAAGTCTGTGATTTTATATCTTTATTTGTTGTTAGCATTTTGAATTTCATTTCTTGCGTTTGTTTCTTTTGATTTATTTTTTGCTTTAAGAGTTGGGTGGTTGTTTTCTTTTTGTTTTTGTGTTAATTGTCGAATCTATTTGCATTGACTGAAATGCTAACTCATATTTCGGGGGGTACTTAGTGGTAAGGGGGGG